TCAGCGGTGGTAAGAAATTTGGATACCACGCTGATAAGAGAGGTATACGACATCCTAGCATCCCCCCTCCCCCGAGCAATGTACGTACACACATCTAAAAGAAGCCTTAATACAGAGACTAACTAAATCCGACGAACAACGGCTAAGGCGATTGTTAATGGGAGTKGAATTAGGAGACAAAAAACCSTCYGAACTTTGGAGAGAAATGAAACGCTTAGCAGGAGATAGTGTTAGCGAAAAAATGCTCCTAAYGTTATGGATGCAAAGGATGCCAACCAGGGCACAAGAGATCCTGGCCATTGCAGACGAAAATACGTCACCCGCAAGGTTAGCGGAAATGGGTGACAAGATCCTAGAGAGAGAGCGTCTGCCGGAAACGGCCGCCATTACGGAAGCAGCGCCAATAGGAAGTGCCGCTCAAACAACAATCAATAGCGAGGTAGCAGAAATCAAGCGGGGAATCGCGCAACTAACGGAGAAGATGGAAAAATTGATGCGCGGTAGAAGAAAATACCGAAGTTTCCGCGGAAGATCCCGAAGTCGAAGCCGATCGKCAAGCACTCACCGAAACAATGACGGCCTATGTTAYTACCACTGGAAATTCGCGGAACGATCGTGGAAGTGCAGATCCCCGTGCAAGTGGACAGGCCCGGATAAAAGAAAGCCTTCGGAAAACTAATGCAAGCGTCTCAAATAGAGGCAGTTGACGACGCGACGAGAAATCTGCGCCTCATGGTAAATGATAGGAGAACAGGAGCATGTTTTCTRATAGACACTGGTGCAGACGTCTCAGTGATTCCACGTACTTCGATAAATGAAACCAAAGACGATACGTGTAAGTTATACGCGGCAAACGGTGCAGAAATAGACACATTCGGAAAAAAACTTTTAAACTTAAATCTTGGACTTCGTCGAGATTTTTCATGGAGATTYATTATAGCGAATGTTTCTAAAGCAATAATAGGCGCCGATTTCTTACATTTTTATAACTTACTACCAGATTTAAGAAACAAAAAATTGTTGGACGGCAATACATTGCTTTCTAGGAAAGCAGAATTAGTAAATATTGACGTTCTAACCATTTTGACCATTAATTGCAATAGTCCGTATTTAGAATTTTTTAGGGAGTACGCAGATTTAACTAAACCAACTTCAAGAAAACCCATCAGCCACACGGTGAAACATTATATTACCACAAAAGGTCCTCCAATAGCAGAGAGAGCAAGAAGACTAAATCCGGAAAAACTGCGANTTTAAGTTTCGCATTTTATGTAATAAGAAAAATGCTCCGAAGGGAGTAATGTAACGGTACGACCGAAGGTCGCGCCCTCTAAAGTTACTAGAAGGCTAGGGAACCACGCTAACAAGTAGTTGTCACCAGACTAGTACAGTCTGTGCGTAGCCGTTGAGAAGTGTACAACTAAGAAAAGCAAATCGCATTCTAACAATAAAAATCATAAAACAAATTCAGTCTAATGTTATCTTTACTCTAGAGAAACCCTCTACATGCACCAGGACGGTGCCGACATCTCGCGGCTGCCAGCGTCAAGTTCGGCAGACGTACCCAAAAACTACCAGAGGTGCGCGTGTCTTGCAGCGACACTTTCTGCCTCGGCTTTGTAACCAAACCATGATGTAGAGGCGGCCGATTGGTCAGAACTCGCGGCGTAATTGCGCCTGGGAATCTGATTGGTCGGGCCTAGTAACGAACATCCTGGATCATCTCCTCGCTTCTCGGAGATCATCGATCCAACGGATTTCTCGACAGGAGTTCGATATCACTCGCCAAGCTTATCAGTCGACTGCGCTTGCTCTTTCTTCCGTATCAATTTATCATTCTGTATCTCGTTGTGCGTGTGTGTATAAATTCTGTATTTTGTTGAATAAAATCTGTTCTGAGAGATCGCAAATAAAAAAGGTGAAATCCCTTGTTGTGTCCGGCTTCCTCATTGGTTGTTACGGTGGTCAGTAACTAGCCATTCGGCCCGCGGACATTGGATTTCCCACACTCTTATTACGCAAAACTTTGAACGCATTTTTCTTGAAACTGTTTTTTTCATGTCATGATATCTCAAGCTCTACTAAACCGATTTACTTGAAATTTGGTAAAAGTCTTTTCTATGCATTTCTCTATCGTACTAACTAAACTCTTACAACAATTTTCAATTTCTACTATTTTTAAAAAATTCGGAAAAGTAAAAAAAATGATAAAAATAATGTATCTTTTTTTTAGACAGCCGTAATTTAGCGAAAAAAAACTTTTTTCAATTCTTTTAGTTCGAACGATAGCGGCATTCTAAATTATTAATCTTTTTTATTTTTTTATTTTGGATTACTAGAAGAGCTGCAATCGTGACAACCATCGTGCACCATTTTTTTGGGGCCCCCCACTTCGTCAGCCTATATCTTTTTCAATGTTGAATTATTTCACTATTTGTTTTTTCATGTATTCTTGAAATATTATTAAATATCTTGTAACATCATAGATAGTGAAAATATTATTCGTCTTTTTGTTATTGCACTTGAAAAAGTACCTAAAATTCATGCCTCTAGACCAGAATATCCCCTTAATATGAATTCAACGAACTAGTTTACCATGACCTTCGGATGACCTTGAAAGCAAAAAATGAAAATTTCAAGAAAAAATGTACCGTTTATGTTCTGTTAGTGTTCTGTTTAAGTAACAATAAATAAATAAAAAACTTGTTTATAACTTATTGTTACTTAAACAGAACACTAATAGAACAGTAACAGAAAACCAACAGAACAAAAACGGTACCACAGTTCTCCTGTTTAATCTTAATTTGTCACGAGAGCAACCGTTGTACAATATTAACTTGTAAAAAATGTATAATAATAGTGGAAAGATTATATATTACTAATACTTGGTGAATGCAAAAGGAAAGCACGTGAAGTAGCAATCTGTATGCTACAAAGTACCCAGAGAGGCATCATCCATCTGCACAAACATTTTACAATATTGAAAAAAATTTACGAAGTTATGAAGAATTTAGAAAGAAAAAGCGAAGCAAACCATTTAGAAATACATCCAAAGGCAATGTTGATACTGTTTTACAACATATAGAAGAAAATCCGCATACATCCATTCGTGTAATTAGTGCTAACACTGGTTTATCTAAGAGTTTAGTTCATAGGATCATAAAAAAAAAATAATTATTATCCTTACAAAATGAGAAAAGTACAGCATTTACACGAAACTTATCCATAACGATGTCTTTCATTTTATATTTTGACTAGTGACTTCATACGAAGATAATCCTGAATTACTAAACTACAATACATTCTGTGGACGAATGAGTGCAAATTTTCTGATAATGGTATAATTAACCGTTATAATCATCATTTCTGGTCTAAGAACAATCCTCTCTGGTTTAGAGAACATAATTTTCAACAGAAAATTTGATGTGGACTAATATACGGGGTCATCCTGGACCTTATTTTTATGAACAACATATAACATTTACAATGTATTTAAATTTTCTTTCCACGCAACTTCCAACATTAATGCAAGAGCTTCTAGATGATAATCGGCAGCGTATTTATTTCCAGCAAAATGGTTTCCCACCTCATAATGCTCGTTTCATTTATAATTACTTAAATTTAAAATTTTGAGAACGTTGTCTGGGCACTTATAGCCCAATTGCTTGGCCACCACGATTTATCACCACTTGATTTTTTTTTATAGGTTCATCTACAGTTAAAAGTTTATACTGTTTCAATACAAAATAAGGAACATTTATAGCAGCGAATCCATGCAACATGCGAAGAACTTTGCTACGACAGTATCGTAAGAGCCACCAGTGCAAATTTCCTACGTCGAGCGGAATTGTGCTTAGAAGTACATGGATTTTAATTCGAACATTTGATGTGACAATTAAATGAAATCGTTTCCCTTCATTTAATCAAGGTTCCTGAATTAAATGTAATTTCAAGTATTTTTTATAATAAATACAAGTTATTATCGTCCATTAAAGAAGATTGTTAGTTTCTGTTGAAATTTTCTTTTTTTTTTGCTTTTAAGGTCATCCGAAGGTCATGATATATTAGGTCGTTAAATTCGTATTAACACAGGCTGTATTAAACCGTATAATAGTGTAAGATCAAAAAGATAGAGTGTCATTTAAAAGAACAAAGGTTGCCTTAAAAAACATGAAAAACAAATTTTTTTTTAACTTTTTTTTTATTACAGTTTATAGTCAATCAAAAACAGATCAACTTTTGTTTAAACTATTTTTTGTCAGATTATTGCAAGTACTTGAAAAACCGTGAATAAAATTATATAAGATACCCTGTATATATATATATATATATATATATATATACATCTAAAACGAACAATAATACAATAATGGGATGGTTGGGTTTTTTCATTTATATTTATTTCTTAATTAATAATATAAATTAAAATTAATGTGTGTTTCAGAAAAATTGTTAATGTGTATTAATCTATAAATATAATGTGCATGTGGGTGTTTGCATGTGTGCACAGGTATAAGCTCCCATCGTTAGAAGATATTATAAAAAATACCTGCGTATATAAATGAAAGATCGCAGAAGCAAATGGTTTTTTCTCCATTTTCCATTTTTTGCGTTACAATACATGCGTACTGTGTAAATTATATAATTTCAATATAAGTAAAAAAACTGAAAAACATTCTATTCTTTTGAATATTCAATAATAAAAAAAGACTACTCTTATCAGTTTATAATATATAGCAATATTATATTTATTTTATTTACAATTAATAATTTATTAATAAATTAATTGAATTAAAAAGTATAATATTACTATAATAATAATAATAATAATATAAATATATTACTATTATTTTGAGCATATTTCGAAAGAACTGTGTAAATAATATCTATCGAATATGCTTATTTATTTTTATAAATGTTTCTATAGTCACTCCTCAGTCCTTTGATTTACATATGTTAATGCATAAGCATCCATATGGTCACGATAAATTAAAAAATCACTGTTATCCAAAAACGCATTTTTTTGTATATTCTATCTATATCTTTTGTCAAAATTACATATTTTAGCAGGATGGAGTTGAATTTTATATAACATCAATCGAATGGATGACAAATATTTCTATACACAAACGATTGTTTTGCGTTGTTATTATATTTTATAAAAAGATAAAAAGAATATGATATTACTATGGAACTATACATAGTATACATAGTACAGTTCCATAGTAATATTATTTATTTTTCTCATGATGGAATGTATTAATAATTGCAATTAAAAATTCTATGCTTCTAGAAATAGATCACCTAAAAGATAATTGGGTATTTCAGATTGATCTCTTTCGACATAGACGTTATTACATTCCATATCTTGTCTATTCTTTACATGCTTTTCATTATCATATTTGATGTTGCTTTCATCGATGTCACAAAATATTTGTTCTATTGTGTCATAAGATGGGCTTGGCGTTATATCAAAATGATTTTCAAGAAATTCTAAAACGGATTCTCTCGTTTTTAACATATTAAGATGTACTCTATTCTTCTTGGATAACATTTTTTCCGTCATAAATACTAAATGGTGATGGAAACATAAAAAGTGAGTATCAATCCTGGCTGTGATATCTATCCAATCTTGAATGCAACTAAGTGGTGTTGTCCTGTAACCCGAAAAAAGAGCAGGGTTTGCTAAAATACCTCTTGCACTCATTATTCCTTCACAATTACTATCTTCGTAAAGTTTTTGAGCACTTTCTAAATTCTTTACATCTCCATTGGCAATAAGCGGTAATTGTACGCTGTCTCTAACAATTTTAAGATCATCTAAATGTATTGGTTCGTATCGCATTTCTGGTGTTCTCGCGTGTACAGTTAAAAACGATGCACCAGCTTTTTCTAATGTTTGACAAAAATTAACTGTTCTGCGAATGTCTTTCAATATTCTTATTTTTACAGAAACTGTGAATGGATTAGAGACACGATTTCTAACTTGAGACACTATATCTTTTACAAGTTCTGGACGTTTTAACATATCAACACCATATCCTTCATTTATAGCCCAACGTTGTGGACAACCACTGTTTAAATCAACTCCATCGCAATATCTGTAAAAGAAAAGTTGCGTTATGAATATACCTGAATAAAATTTTTGTTTGTAATAACATTATTGAAATGAAGCATACGGAGCAACTATTTCAGCTGCATTAGTAAAATCAGCTACATTGTTAGCTGCAAATTGTGCAATAAGCGGAGTATCCTTATCTATCGTGGAAAATTCGCTGTCTCTAGCTTTAGCCGACTTTACAAATGAATTTGCCACTATCATAGGTGTGAAACAAATATCGCATTCATATTGTCTGACTAACATTCGAAATGGCAATCTAAACGAGAACAAATCATTTATAAAAAATATGTAATTAGTATAAGTTGAATTAAAAAGTGGCGGTAAAAAATAAAATGGAATATCCATAAAAGATACTTTGTTATTACTTACTTACTATATCTAACCATTGGTGCACATACATTTATCATTCTTGGTTCTTTTAATAATTCAACTATGTCTATCGTCATTTTGTATAAAATTGAAAATACTACACGTTCTTTTTAACGTAAATGATTATTATTAAAAGGTTATTTATCCATAGTTATAACAAGTAATCAAGATGGAGAATAAACGATTATTTGAATCTAAACGCAGCACCATCTGTTGGGGTGAAAGAGAAAATAAATACTAATCGATTATATTGTTTTTCGATATACGATAATTTTGATGATCGATTAACACAAATTTGCTTGAAATACCGGAAATAGTTTCTACACTTTAGGATAGTTCCGGTTGTTAATTTTTTAATAAAATACAATTAAATTTAATAAAATACATACTTACCCACGTAAACATATAAACTTTGTATAATCTTTGGTTTATATTAAAAATAGAAAAATTTTACTTAGGTTAATATATTTAAACCTTCTTCTACAATCTGTCGATCTATATGTTTTTTAGGTATCAATAATCCAATAATTATATTCTTTATATTATATAAAATTGATATTATAACAAAGAATTATAATAATTTTTAGATTGCAATACAATTATTTTAATCTTTTATGCAAATAAACTTTATCTTCGTGATTAATTCTAGACATTTTCGAATGTTCGGGATACTTCTAGAGTCACGAGTGGGCGGGGCGTAGTAGCTCGAGTTTCTATTGGTTCAAAGTTTCATAGGTTAATATCAATTGGTTAATGTGAGAACTTTGATACTCATCACGAACGTCACATAAAAACTATATGAAGTTCGCGTTATAGTGCGCGTAAGGTTCTTGCTAGAGTTGCATCATTACACGTGAAGTTGGTCTTTGGGTTTCCGGCTCTTTTCTTTTAACGAAATTAGTTTACTGCATTAAAAGAATTTAATGAAAATGTTGGCTGCCGCTAGATTGTTAAGCAGAAGCTGTAACAGCATCAGCTGCGACATCGCTAGAAGACAGCAATTTAGTACAATATTAAAAAATGTAAGTTTTGATGGCGACTTCGATATCTCACCGATTTACCAAACGAATTCGTGACTGTAAAAAGAAACGTTTATCGATTATGTTTGATTTTTATATTACTCAAAAACAATAACTTATTGTACCATGTATTTTTATGTATTAATTTGTCAAATTTTTGACAGCTATTATTGCTGATCAATATAACGACGCATTTAATACATTCTTAGCCATTGTTTCGGAAACCGGCACGTGCTTTTCTTTTATTTCGAGTATACTTTTTTTTGCTAATGGTATAATGTTCATAATGAATAAGGTTCAAGCAAATCTTTTAAAATCAATGATGCAAGAATACAATAAAGTTTCATCACTTATACCATTGTAAATTATACTTCTAATATATTTCATTATTCTTTTAGTGAACATACATATATATTATTTAAATATCTTTTTATATAAGTTTTTATTTCATAAATCAATGATTTTTAGGCTGCAGCTCCTGGAGTTATTGTACCTCAACGTTACACTGACATACAATGTCGTTATAAGTAAGTAATCTTTTGTTATAATCATTAAATAGCGAATATAATTTTTAAAATGTGGTATCTCTATGCTTGAATGGATTTTTATATATAATTTGTATATTAAAAAAGTTATTCTCAATATTTTTAGATCAGAGGGTGTTAAAGGAGCAGTTATTGGTATTGATCTTGGTACAACATTTTCTTGTGTAGCAGTAATGGAAGGTAAACAGGCTAAGGTTATTGAAAATTCAGAAGGATCACGAACGACACCATCTTACGTTGCATTTTCAAAAGGTAATTGTTTCTAATGTTATTTATTTTATTATTTTAACACAAATATTTTAATATAACTGCTTTTTAATTTGCCTTCATATGGTTTAGATTAAACAAAATGTTAATGATGAATTTATATAATTTTAGAGAATGAACGTTTAGTTGGTATGCCTGCCAAACGTCAAGCAGTTACAAACTCTTCTAATACATTTTATGCAACCAAACGACTCATTGGGAGAAAATTCGATGATCCTGAAGTGAAGAAAGACATGTAAATAGTTTATTTAATTTGTAACACTTTTAATTATAAAAGAATTTAGAATCATCAATTTGTTTGATATTTATCATGTATTATTTTATTACAGGAAAACAGTGTCTTATAAAATCGTTAAAGCATCTAACGGAGATGCATGGGTACAAGGAGGAGATGGAAAATTGTATTCCCCTAGTCAAATAGGTGCTTTCGTGCTTATGAAAATGAAAGAAACTGCAGAGGCTTATCTTAATACACCAGCTAAAAATGCAGTTATCACTGTACCTGCATATTTCAATGATTCGCAAAGGCAAGCTACGAAAGATGCCGGTCAAATCGCTGGGTTGAATGTACTTAGAGTGATTAACGAACCTACCGCTGCTGCACTTGCATACGGTATGGATAAAACGGCTGACAAAATGTAAGTATACTTTTATATAATTTATTTTTAATTATACATGTATACTAATTTTTTAATTAATATTTATATTTATTTAGTATTGCAGTATACGACTTGGGTGGTGGTACTTTTGATATCTCAATTTTAGAAATTCAAAAAGGTGTTTTTGAAGTTAAATCAACTAACGGAGACACATTTTTGGGAGGAGAAGATTTTGATAATGCATTAGTTAATTATTTGGCATCCGAATTTAAAAAAGACGTATGTAGATTAGTCAATCGAAATGATATTAGGAATAATAGAAAATAATTCATTCGTAACATAATTTATAATTAATTATTTATAGCAAGGTTTAGACATAACTAAAGATGCTATGGCTATGCAACGATTAAAGGAAGCAGCTGAAAAAGCAAAAATTGAATTATCAAGCTCTTTGCAAACCGATATTAATCTACCATACTTAACTATGGATTCTAGTGGACCTAAACACTTGAATCTTAAACTTACAAGAAGCAAATTTGAAAATCTTGTTGGTGATCTTATCAAACGTACTATACAACCATGTCAAAAAGCTCTTACCGATGCTGAAGTATCTAAATCTGACATTGGGGAAGTACTTTTGGTTGGAGGAATGACTAGAGTACCTAAAGTTCAACAAACAGTTCAAGAAATTTTCGGTCGACAACCTTCGAAAGCTGTTAATCCCGATGAAGCAGTTGCTGTTGGTGCTGCTGTTCAAGGTGGTGTACTTGCTGGAGATGTTACCGATGTTCTTCTTCTCGATGTTACACCTCTTTCATTGGGTAAGATTTTTGTGCATTCTCGTTAATTGTTATTTTTAATAAATGATGTTTAATAGTCTAATCTTCTCTCTGATCATTATGAAGATATCGTATCAAATACTGATTGTTCATTGAAATAATATTTCCTAATCACATGAATTACTTATATTTTATTATCACTTTTATTTATTCCTCATAGGTATCGAAACACTTGGTGGTGTCTTTACAAAATTGATTTCACGAAACACGACTATTCCTACGAAGAAAAGTCAAGTATTTTCTACAGCAGCGGATGGTCAAACCCAAGTAGAAATCAAGGTTCATCAAGGTGAACGAGAAATGGCGTCTGACAATAAACTTTTGGGTCAATTCACATTGGTCGGAATTCCTCCCGCGCCAAGAGGAGTTCCTCAGATTGAAGTAACATTTGATATCGATGCGAATGGTATCGTTCACGTATCTGCTAGAGACAAGGGCACTGGCAAGGAACAACAAAGTATGTTAAAATATTATTTTTTGTCCTTTGAAAATTGTTTATATTATAACTATGATGCTTTTATTTTTCGTCTCCAAAATTACTCCAAAGTTGAGTAAAATATGTGGAAATCTTTAACTGAGTTAAATTTAAATAATTTAAATATAATAAATAAAATATTATATTTCGATCTAAAAATACTTAAACCTCTGATTTTTATTTGCAGTTGTAATTCAATCCAGTGGTGGTCTGAGCAAGGACGAAATTGAAAATATGGTAAAGAATGCCGAACAATATGCTAAAGCAGATAAGATCAAGAAAGAAAGAGTAGAAGCTGTTAATCAAGCAGAAGGAATTATTCACGACACGGAATCGAAATTAGAAGAATTCAAGGCACAACTTCCGCAAGAAGAGGTATAGTAATTTTAATGATTTTATATTATTTGTGTCTATAATTAATTATTAATTTGATTTATTTTTTAGTGTGAAAAATTGAAAGAATTGGTTGCTAAGACAAGGGAAGCCTTAGCCCGAAAAGATGAAATGGATCCCGAGGAAATCAAAAAACAAACCAATGAATTGCAGCAAGCAAGTTTGAAATTGTTCGAAATGGCATATAAAAAAGTAAGTGTAATAGATTAATTAAAAAATTTAGATTAAAAATTGTTCAAATATTTACTTCCATATTTATCTTATATAATTTTTCTAATCTAAATCAATGTACGATTGATACAGATGGCGGCAGAAAGAGAAAGCAGCAGCGGTAGTGGTAGTGGTAGCGGTAGCAGTAGCAGTAGCGATAGTAGTAACCAAAGTCAACAAGAACAATCTCAAGAAAAGAAAGAAGAGAAAAATTAATGGTAAAGAAAAAATGTCTTCAACAAATTTTTTGCACATAGTTGTTTAAACACCAATTGTCGTTTTACATGCCCAGATTTAAAAAATAAAAGATATATATATTTGTTTTATTAAATGTATATAATCAATTTTATTAATTAAATGCCAACTTTCTTTGTTAATTATTATTTATTTCTTTTTAATATGTTCTCATACTGACAAAGTTCATCGTTAAAAAATTAGAACATATTAGCTCGAATAATATAAGAATAACTTTCTGGGATATGTATCGATTGCAGTTAATAATTTGAAAGCAGTTGTCGGGCTAAAAAAATCGTCCTGTAAATTGTGTATATAATCCTCCAGTGCATGATAAATATTGCCAGAAAAGCATATATTTGTGATGCCTAAACTTAATGTGAAATGACAGATGGTGTTTAACGATATTGTTTTCGCCTGTGTCAATTTTAACAACAAAATGGAACTATCTTGTCAACAGTGCTACAAAAATTCTTAGTATGATAGTTCATTCGTTTGCTACTGTAGAATTCTATAGTAGTTTAGGCAGTATGAATGTGTATTATGATTGACAACAAAAAGAATGTTTGATATATATAGACAGATACATAGCATAAGAAATATATAATACTTATATAAGTAATTAAATATAAAATGTAATAATGTGGTATATGCACACCAATATTATAAACATAATTATAGTTAATTTCACCAATTTTTTATTTAAAATTTACATCCAATACAATAATTTTCATGTGTTCGTTGTGTTATTCAATAAATCATTCGAAATTCAATATTGCATTTATTAATAAACATAGACATTATTATCAAAGGTCTTATTTAATAAATATGCTCAACTAGAAATTTTATACAAAAATAATGAAATCGATTTTATGATTTGGCTTTATCCTTTATGAATTGTAATACTTCTTGAACATCCTCTTTAGATCCTAAGAAAATTGGTGATCTTTGATGAATACTTTCGGGAACTATATCTAAAATATCGATTTCCCCATTTGATGCTAGACCACCTGCTTCTTTAATTAAATAAGCCATTGGTATGCATTCATATAAGAGACGTAACTAGAAATATAATTCAATTAATCTCATTAGTAATTGATTTAACTTGTTAGAATCTCTTAACAAGTTTGTTATTAATACCTTGCCATTTGGATTAGTCTTTGTTGAAGGATACAAAAAAATTCCTCCATATTTAATAGTCCTATGTACATCAGCAACCATTGAACCAACGTATCGTGCACTGTACGGTTTACCATTATTAGGGTATTTTTTCGAATGTATATAATTTTTTATAGAAGTATCCCATAAACTTTCGTTTCCTTCGTTAATACTGTCGTGCAAAATTAATTTTTATTAATGAATATTTTATTGAAAAATTATAATCTATTATAATTATTTTAATATATTTATATTTTAATATATATATACCTATAAATATTTCCTCTACTTGGTATGGACATATTTCTTTCAGTTAAAATGAATTCTCCGATCGCTGGATCGTACATGAAACCATTAACGCCATGTCCAATGGAAAGAACGATCATAGTGGCTGAACCATAAAGAGCGTAACCAGCAGCAACTACATTTCTACCTGGCTGAAGAGCGTTAGAAATATTGGAACTATCGGTATTATCTAATTTTTTGTAAATTCCGAATATCGAACCAACTGACACCAAACAATCGATATTCGATGAACCGTCCAAGGGATCAAAGCACACAACGTATTTACTAAGTTTTTCTGTTTCAACCTCAATCGCATCATTATTTTCTTCGCTTACAAGAAGGGAAGTTGTGAAAGAAGATTTTAACATGTTAATGAACAATTCGTTACTTAAAACATCTAATTTCTTTACCTCTTCGCCTTGAACATTTATATTACCAGCTATACCATACCTGTACAAATATAAATAGTAAGTCTCAATAAAGATATTGACAATTCTTTACAATTGTTTTCTTATATATTTTATTTTTTTAATATAAAATGAAAAACACGAACAGTTCGACAACAGATTTGATAAACTTTAATCATTCATATTCTTGGAATAACACAATATCTTTATCGTTGCGCTCTGATTAAAAAGAATATACAGTAGAAGATATTATCCAGACGTAAACAAGTTTGTAATTGTCAATAATTCATATTAAAATCATTTAAAAATAGATTATTTCGCTTATTATAATAATTATAAGACGAGATGATAAAACAATTTATATTTTATACAAAAATTATTTCGTATATATTGGAATGTTCGAAAATATGTATATATTTATAAATTGACGTGAAATTTTCAAAGTTTTTATCCTAAAATAAAAAAAAACATTTTTATTTTTATTTAAAAAACAAAATAAAAGATTTTTTGTTGTTGTTGCTTTTGATAATTTAAATGACAAATAAAATTTGATAAAATTGTATATATTTTGTTGTTTTCTTTACGTTTGTCACATTTATTCTTCAATTTTCACCTTTACATTTCTTTATAAATACAGAGTTGCGGACAAACAAACTTTATCTACCTTGAATATCTGTGTTATTTATAAAACTGAAAATGATACTTACATATTCGCAATACCGGCCTTTCTAACAATCGAACTAACAGCTTTTACAGCAGTTTGTATGCTGTTTAACAATTGACTAAGATCACCAGTTGCTGTAGGAAATTTACGTTGTTCGGCAAGAACAAATCTCGTAAGAGTCATGCAATTAGAATCAAAAGTACTTTTCGATGTCATTTTTAAATGTAATAAATGTTATAAAACCAACAACTTGCTTCGTGTTTCGTTTTAGACTAAAGCTGTTTTGCAAGACACGTTGTATTATATAATCTCGGTAGTATATCAACAATTTTTTCTGTATGATATAAAATGATATGTTATTCTTTATTTTTCATTTCTTGTTGATTTGACTGAAATCAAGTCACCATAAAAACAACAGTCCTGATAAAAAAATAGATTAATAATTAAATGTTTACATTTGGTTCATATATATGCGATACTTTAATTTAATTTAATATTGCACGATTTTATCTTTTTCTTTTTTTTTACCTTATCGTACGAAACTATTTTAATATTTGCATCCCTTTTTTCATGTAATTAAATTATTAATTTAAATTAATATCTCTTTAATATATAAAATTTATTTACTTTAATCATTTTACCGACCGGTAGTTTTTTTTAGAGTTTTGGTTTTGGCATGACAACACGTATTTATTCAAGTCATATATAAATATTAATTATTTTTCTTGTTAAGTTTTAAATACATGCCGCGACGTATAAATATTTATAAATGTTAATCAATAAATTTCGCGTTGCAATAAGGTACTTTAAAAAAATTTATAAGTATTTATTTGTATAGAAAAAAGATAGGAGGCGCTACAGTTCATAGTGCTGTTTCTGGGTTACTAGGTATGCATTTAGTTTTGTTTAGACTCTTTCATTAAATTATGACAATGGAGGTAAACAAAGAAGAAAAAAAAGAAGAAATAAAAGTAAAAATAGAAGAAATAGAAATAGAAGAAGAAGAGGAAGAAGAAAAACAAAAAGAAGAAAGAGAAGAAAAAAAAAAAGGGGGTTATGAATATTTTGAATACGATCAAAAAGGACTACCAGAATGTGAACATGGTAATTTTTATTTAACTATCAATATTAACTATTTCAATTATAATCATATTTATAGAAATGGATTTTCTAACAATGATATATCAAAATTTGTTTTTAATAGGACCAACGGTTGTATTTGGAAAATATGTTAACAATTTCTTGGAACGATTTTATGTTTGTTCAGCATGTCGTGATAGAAAAGAATGCCCATTTTATTTAAAATTTGGAGACCAATTAACTAAACATCAAAAAATTGTATGGGAAACAAAGAAAAAGAAAATGATTAAAAGTTACGATCATCAGAAATTGTTTATACATTTTAATATGGCGTTAGCTACCAGTCCAGAAAATCGATCCTATTGCCATAGTTGCGAGAGATTAGTTCTTATTCATGAAAGAGACAAGCATAGTGATCATACAATGACTGTAGGTTTGACTGATCATCAAATGTATCGTCCAACGGAATTGCTTAAACCTTTGGAAAATTCCAAAAAAGAGGCTCAATATTTATTTTCTCACAAATCTGTTCAAGATATCGTAACGATGTTATTAGAATTAAAAGCTAAACAAGTTCTTTGCATCGGTGCTCCTAGAATACATGAGTACATTTCTCAAATCTTCAGTGACCAAATATGGTCTTTACTTCTTGATATCGATGGAAGATTTGTAAGTATTTTTATGAAAGCAATAATCGTAGGGTTTATATCGATATCAATAATAGCAATGACTTATTTGTTTTTTTCAGCATAATTTTTTTAGTCCAATGAATTATGCATGGTACAATTTATTTAATCATTATTTTTTCAACGACGATGGTAAACTTCTATTAAAAGATTTCCTTACTCAAAACAATGGTAAAAATTTATACTTAATATGTGATCCGCCATTTGGTGGTCGCGTAGAACTCATATCCCAAACCATAAGGAAGATTTCTAATTTGCATAAACAGTTAAATAAAATTGAAAACGACGATGACAATTTAAAGATTATATTTATATTTCCATATTTTATGGAACGAATTATAAGAGTAAAATCCAATCCACCTAATGTTACTGGCGGTTTGAGAGAATTACAAATGTCAGATTATAAAGTAGATTATGATAATCATCTACTTTTTAAAACGGATTGTAATGGAAGACAATATGGATCACCGATTAGAATATTCACTAATATACCTTTGAATTTACTAAAACTTCCTGAATCAGATGGTTATAAATATTGCAACATATGTCAGAAATGGGTTTCCAAAGAAAATAAACACTGTAAGATATGTAAAAAATGTACTTCCAAAGATGGAAGAACGTACATACATTGCAATAAATGTAATCGTTGCGTTAAACCATCTTGGAGACATTGCTACACTTGTCAAAGATGTCTTTTAGAGGATCATGAATGCAATAAAAAACTGATAATTTCAGGACGTTGTTTCAAATGTAACAAATTAGGTACATCTCTTAAAGTTCAATTATTCTTATTCAATTACAATTTTTCTTGATTTAATAATCCACGTTATTCTTAGGTCATACAGAAAACAATTGTGAAACTAGTAACGAAGTTAAAAAGAGAAAGAAGAATGCAAATTCAATTAGTGAAGAATCAATAAACAAAAATATTGGTGATATCAATAAAAAAAATTCAATAAAACGACAGAAATTAATTAATCGTAAATTTAAATCTCCGTTTATAACGAAATTTAATAAAAATCAAATATTAGGGAAAAAGATCAAGTTATCTCAAACAACGAATAAGAAACGAAGAAAAGCCAAAACAAAGTTAATAAATAAAATGAAGGTCGAAGATATTAGTAGTACTTGATATACATTCTGATCTTATGTATTTACAAAAAAGAGGAGAGAAATATCAAAAATAATTATTATAAATAAGAAATTTCAAAATTTATCCTTTTCTTGGATTTTATAAAGCTTTTTATGAATGTGTGTATGTAGATTAAAGCTTTGATTTCGAACAATGGTGAATTTCTAAGTGCATTTTTCAATTTAGAGATTAGTGAATAAAATACAATATAATATAAGAATTTGAATACACGGATTTCATCTCCATAATCCTTAGAGTGCTTTATTGTTAAAATATCCGTAGAAAGCACATCGGAATACTAAATATTACTGATCTGGCAATATAAATACATTGCCGTGTGAACGATTTATCACAGTTCGTCTTCGAACATCCAACGGATTGTTCAAATAATCTAGTTAAAGATTTAATTGAAAATATGACGAAAAAAATTCTTATATTTACTTCTTTTATTTTTATAACTTCGGCATGTCTAATTACTAATTGTCCTCGTGGCGGGAAAAGAGGTGACATTGAAGTTCCAGAAAGTATTAGAGAAGTACAGTTTATAATTATCAAATAATAATAATAATAATAATAATAATAATAATAATAATAATAATAATAATAATAATAATAATAATAATAATAACCATAATAATAATAATAAAATTATAAAGTATATTTTTTCCACTTTCTTCAATTGCAATTTATTTTGGGTTCATTGTATTTCTTTTTCTAATAATTAGTGCCTTCCCTGTGGACCCAATCAATTAGGTCAGTGTTTTGGGCCTAAAATTTGTTGTGGGCCTACTTTTGGATGTCACATTGGCACGTCACAAACACAAAAATGCAGAAAAGAACAGTTTGATACGAGTCCTTGCCTCGCAGGTTTTTCTATGTGCAATGGAAATAAAGGAAGATGTGGTGCAGCTGGGATTTGTTGTTCTCAAAGTACATTTAAAATTAAAACAAGATGTTAAAATAGAAATTGTATCTGCATTTTCTTATATTAATTTATTTGCAGATTCGTGTTTCATAGATCCGAGCTGTCGATTTCCTACTTTTGACGATTGGCCAGGCCGTCAAAAAATTGATTCTGATTTAAAGACAATTGCTAGTGAAATCCTCAAAGAAGAAGCGATGTAACAATCATATTTTATTTTCTGTCCTATAAATTGAAATTATTTAGAATAATGTTATGAAAAAGAAAGTAACTTAATAAAGATGTATCATATATGAAATAGTTTAATTAATAATTTATTTATATTTTTTTTCTTTCTCTATAGAATATTATTTTTTCTCACACATGGATCGAAAGTTCGTTTTTGCTCCCTGTTTTCAGGGGCGAAAGTGCCACATTCCCTCTCGCTTGAATGTAGTAACGCGCATTTAGCAATTAGTGCGCATGCTTCAATTTTTTAGCGCATGCGTACTAGTTTCTTAACCTTAAAAATGTTTTAATAAATTACTGCGCATGCTTATATATATTATATATTATGATATATAATTAATGATTTTAATGATAACATGTGTTGTTTCATAAATTTTATATTTTATTTATTTTTACAAATTCTAAAGATATTGGTTTAGTTAAATATTACAAACATAAATAGGTTACTACGTATAAATTTAATTATTTTCTTGATTATGAGAGTTGTATTAGTTATTATTTATTATAATCTGTTTTAACTCACAATTCTTGAACGTGACAAAAGGTGTATTGAAGGTCAAAGAATCAATCACTTTGTTCTCGATTTGAATTTCATTTAAATGCTTTTTTTGGACTCACACAGACTTACACACACAACCTCTTCGATTTTCAACACTCCCCACAATAATAATAATTTATAAACTCCCTATTTRATTAATTAMATTTTATTTAAAAAAATATTTTTTAAACTTAAACAATAATTTATATTTTTAATAGAATCTAATTTTATATTTTATTTATTTTTATATTTAAATTTTTTTTAAGTGGGGGGCTCCGGCGGGGCTGTGCCCCCGGACCACCTGATTTTTTTGTTGGGGGATTTGCCCCCAGACCCCTACCAGGGGTTCCACCCCTAGACCCCTTGCTTGTTTTTAAATTTATATAATCTTCGCAAAATTTATTAATTGACAACAAATAAAAAAGTATATTACATACCTAGGGCAGTATAGTAAGAAAGCGGCAACTTGGTTTTGCACAGCGGGAGAAAAGGGAGGCGGAAAGCGGCAACTTCGTTTTGCACAGCTGCAGCGGGAGAAAAGTTGACGCTTTCCGCCCGGGAAGAAAAACATGTGAATTATAATTCCTTTTAACCTAACAGCAAAATATATTAATAGTATATAATTATTTAATTACAACCGAACTTTCGATACCGGTGTGAGAAAAAAATGTATACTCACTACATTACTAGATGAGTAATATACTATTATTGTGATATTTATGTTTAATTGTTTTGTTTTTTTTAGTAGTTTCCTATAAGTGTAAGTTTAATTTACTCATTTAATAATTACAAGTATAAATGTACAAACCTAACCTATAACTTATCGTTTGAATCATTCGCGCGCAATCACGTGACTACACGAGTTCCTGTCCCCCAGCAATGTACATGGCGCGTCCCTCTTATAGGGTCCCTAGCCGAAATTAACAATTTGATTTGTTATAAAATTTCGAAAAGACTTAACTACATTCAACATAATTTAAGATGCTTCAAATTGAAAAAAACAATAGAGAAACCTAATTTAACTACATAACGTAAAAAACATTTTTTTAACTACATAACGTACAAAATTACAAAAATAAATTACAAAACAATTTACTACTCATCTACATTTTGTGTGTGTGAAAGGGATTTGAAGAAATTATGATGTTCCAGTGATATATATTGTAATAGGTCAATTGTGTCCTTGAATTTTGCCGTTGTAATTTGTTTGATATTTTTATATAGTGGTATCAGTACAATATTTTCGAACTTTCTTGGTCCACCCCGACGTGGAATTAAATTCAGAATCTTGTTTTAATGACTTCTTAGCTAATTCTGCTAGTCTTAAATGGACATTGTGTTCTTCTGTAAGTTTATTTTTTTCTTCATTATCATTCGATGCTTTAATTTTGATGTTTAATAAGTCGCATTTTTGACATGTATCTATGCGCGGTTGGTGGAAATGTAAATCAAAATCTTTTTTAAATATTTTTCTGTAAGTCAACTTATTAACGACTTTTATTTATTTTCCTTGCAAAGAAGCTCGTATAAATTAAACATTTTTCTAAGAGTTAGATCAGGATGTAGATATCTTCTATTAGGATTATGAAATTTGGTATAATGGGATTCAAATTTATGAAAACTTTTAATATGGTTTTGAACGTGCTTTTTCTCTTCTTCAGATAATTTTCTTGATGATCCGACCATCATTCCACGTAAATCATATTTTCCTACATTTTCAGGGTTTAATACACGTTTTAAGCGTCCTTCCCTTACTTTAAAGGTAGCCAAAAAAAATTGTTTACAGACGGGAACTTTTCCGTTTTTAGAATTTAACAAATACCTAAAACTCCAATTTCTTCGCGAACCTTTTCCGTTTTCTTGACATCTTCGTTTCACAGTTTTGCACTCGACAGCTTCGTAAAGCAGTACATTTTGTTTATTAAGATCTCCCAAATACCAAAACTGCTCAAAAATATTCTTTCCTTCTTCTTCTTTGTAATTTTTTATGCAAGCTTTTCTACAATGGCAATCTTTGTTTTGGAAAATTTTTGAAGGTACAATATTTCCGGTTTGAGTCCAATATCTTTTTCCTGAATTCCGTTCAATCTTGCACACTTTTTGGATATATGTTTCTTTAATATTTTTTCCATTGTTATCTATATCTTCATTTCCTGAAAACGAATATTGTTCTATAATTCTTTTTCTTTTTCGATTTTCTTTGAAATCATTATTATTATTATTATTATTAAATCATTCTCCTCTCCAACTTCGGTCAGGCCTTTTTATAGAGAAACTTGCGGACTTTTCAGTCAAGCGAGCTCTCTTTATCCTTTTGTATTATTGCGTGTTGAGAGTTTTCCTAACTATAGAGCATGTGTCAATAATAACTGATTTCTGTAGCTGTATGTATATGTTCGGATGTAATTGGGTTTCACGTATGTACTGGTGTAGAATTTTGGGTATGTGTCCTGTGGTTGATATTACAATAGATATTGTATCTACCTTTTTTTGATGCCACATGTCTTTTATTTTCTCAGCCAGCAGTATGTACTTTTCTATTTTTTCTCCTATTTTTTTTTTTGTATATTTGTTTGGTATAGATATTTCTATGAGCTGTGTTGTTTTATTCTTTTTATCTGTAAGTGCTATGTCTGGTTTGTTGTGCGGTATGGTTTTATCTGTAGTGATGCTTCTGTTCCAGTATAATTTGTACTCTTCGTTTTCTAGTATGGTTTGTGGTGTGTATTTGTATGTGAGTGTGTGTTGTATGATTAGTCTATGTTTTATGGCAAGTTGTTGATGTACTATTTTTGCTATATTGTCGTGTCGTCTGGTGTATTCTGTGTTGGAAAGTATTGTGCATCCGTCTATGATGTGTTCTATTGTTTCTATCTGTATTTTACATAATCTGCACTTATCTGTTTTTGTATTCGGGTCTTTAATTATGTGTTTACTGTAATACCTGGTGTTGATTACCTGGTCTTGGATGGCTATCATGAAGCCTTCAGTTTCACCGTATATGTTACCTTTATTTAGCCATGCATTGGATGCTTGTGGGTAATGTGTTCTTGTGCTAATTGGTGTGGGTGCTTGCCGTGCAGTGTTTTTTGTTTCCAGTTTTCTTTTTTTTTTCTGTTGTAACTGTGAGGTCTAATGGGTTGTATGTGTGGTTGTTGAGTTGTAATGGTGTGGCTGACGTGTCCGTATGTATTATTGTTCTATGTATTTTGCTATTTTCTGCTCGCTTCATGAAATATTTTTTTTAGGTTGTCTATTTGTTTGTAGTTGAGGTTTCGAATATCTATGTATCCTCTTCCTCTTTCTTCTCGGCTAATTGTGAATCTTTTAGTTGCTGCGTGTATGTGATGTATTCTATATTTATTGCATTGTGTTCGTGTGAGTGTGTTAAGTGCTTTCAGGTCTGTTCGGTCCATCTCACTATCCCAAAAGAGTATGTTAGTACTACTATTGCATATGTGTTTATTGCTTTTGTTTTGTTTCTTGCTGTAAGTTCTGTCTTGAGTATATTAATTAGTCTCTACCTGTATCTGTGTTTCAATTCTTCTTTGATTATTGCATTTTCTATTCCTATTTTCTGTTTGTATCCTAGGTATTTGTAGCTGTCCGTTTCTGTCATTGCCTCTATGTGGTTGTCGTTTTCGTCTAATATGTAGTCTTCCTGTTTGGTTTGTTGTCCTTTGATTATGCTATTTTTCTTACACTTATCTGTCCCTAGCGTCATTTTTACGTCTATGCTGAATGTTTCAGTGATCTTGAGTAGATAGTTTAGTTGGTGGTTAGTTGTTACAAACAGTTTTAAGTCGTCCATGTACAGTAGATGTTTGATTTTGTGTGGATTTGTTCCAGTGATATTGTAGTCGTATTTCGTGTCATTTAACATGCTTGATAGTGGGTTTAGGGCCAAACAGAACCAAAAAGCGCTTAGTGAGTCTCCTCCAATTTCCCATTATTGTCTCTAAAAATTGTATTAGTTCTGGGTTTACTTTGTATATTTCAAATATTTTAATCAGCCATGAATGAGGTACACTGTCGAAAGCCTTTTGGTAGTCTATATATGCGTAATGCAGCGATCTCTGTTTAATTTTAGCTTGATGCATTATTTCCGAGTCAATTACTTATTGTTCTTTGCATCCTTGGCTTCCTTTACAGCATCCCTTTCGTTCTTCGCTGATTATATTGTTGTGTGTTGTGTGTGCTATTAGTTTCTGTGCAATAATCTATGTCAGAATTTTGTATATTGTAGGTAGGCATGTAATGGGTCGATATTTTGCTGGGTTAGTTGTGTCTGTTGTGTCCTTTGGTATGAAATATGTTATTCCTTGTGTTAGTGTGGTTGGTGTTGTGTGTGGTTTCTTAATATAGCTGTTGAATAGTTTTGCCAGGTGTGTATGCGCTGATGTAAATTTTTTTAACCAATAGTTAGCTATTTTGTCTTTTCCGGGTGTTTTCCAGCTGTGTGTGTTAGCTATTGTTTTGGTGATGTCGTGAGGCGTTATTGTTACTTCTGTCATTTGTTGTTTGTGTTGTATTTATTTTGTTCTTTCTGTATCCAGTGCGCCTGTTGATTGTGTTGTGTTGCGTTTGACCATATATTACTCCAGAACTTTTCTATATCTGCTGTGTTTGGTGGCTGGATGATTATGTCGTTTGTATTCGTTTTCTCTAGTGTTCTGTAAAATTTCTTTTGATTTGTGATAAATATTGTATTTTGTTCTCTTTTGTTCTTGCTTTTCTTGTAGCGTCTAAGCCGCTTGGCCAGTGCCTGTAATTTCTGTTTCTTTTGGTCCATTTCTTCTATTGCTTGTTGTTTAGTTATCCGTTCCATCTTTTTCTTTTTGTTTTTGTTTGTATCTTGTTGTTTATGTGTTGTGTTAGCTGTCCTACTTCTTTCCTTAACTTCTCTATTTTTTTTGTAGCCTATGTTGCCATGCTGGTATTGTGATTGTCTTTTGAGTGTTGGCTGTCTGTGTCTTTCTTTTTTTGGAGTGCATTTTTGTGATTGTTAATGCTCCTGTGTAGATAAGCAGTTGAAGCTCTTCCATGGTTGTGCTGTCTTTTATTCTGTTTTATATGATTTTGTTGATTTGGTCTATTATGGTGTCAGTGTTCGGGGTATTTGGTGG